AGATAGATAGATAGATAGATAGATAGATAGATAGATAGATAGATAGATAGATAAATAGATAGATATAAGAAATATGTAATAGATAAATTTAAATTCTGAGCAGGAATAGAAAAAGAAGATAGAGAAAAGTTGAAACTAGAGCTAAGTTACAAAAGATCTCTTCCCCTCTTTTTTAATTGTGCTTGTGTGTGTCTGTGTGTATGCCACAATGTGCAAATACCTTTGGAGGCCAGAAGAAAGGATCATACTCCTTGGAGCTCCAGGTACAGGTGGTTGTGAACTGTCCGTGTTAGTGCTGGAAACCAAACTTGGGGCCTCTGGAAGAGGATGAAGTTCTCGTAATGGTGGAACCATCTCTGCAGCCTTACCTCTTTTTGTTTTGTTTTTAAATAAGTGATACTGGATTTTGATGTGTATCCCTATAGTTCTTTGTCACACATATATTTTTGTTACCACCTGGATTTTTTAAAGTTTTAAGCATTAAAGATGGTGTGCTTTCCTAAATTATATATTTAACATGTTAGTAGCACTCTGGCATTTATTCTTGCTATCTGAGTATTCTTAGTATCTGAGCACTAAAGACCTAGAGAAAGAACATTACTAAGGATTCCAATAAGGATTTGGAAAGGCAAAGCTAAAGAAATGTCTGAGTCATAGTTTGCTTCGTATCTTGCCAAAACTGCCCCAATAAATAATGAGAGATAAACATAGATTAAAAATAGTGAAATGAATCTTAAACATGTAGTAGAAAATCACTTAAAGTAGGAGTTCAGAGCAGCATCAGATTGTGAAGCAAATATATAAGACTTATGAGTGCTGATATAAATTAAATATGCTTAGTTCATTTAACTGTGAACTAACTGTTGAGGGCGTTAGAGCATACTAGACGCCATGGTGTGTGTGAGGATCACAGATCTCTGTGGTTGTATTTCCTTCTCTTCCCCCAGAGGAACAGGGATTCTTGTAATCTAGCAGCATAATAAAAGAAGTGAAGACCCTTTTTTAAATTTTTTAATTAATAATAAAATGAAGCTATTAACTTGATAATTATTTCCTCATTTGAAGAAAAATTGATAGTTTGCCTTAAATATTAAAATATGAGAAGTAACTACTGTTCTAATTTTAGAAAATTCAATTCTAAGACATTAGGGAAAAAACCATGGTTTCTTGTATAAATTTGTTTTGAAATTATTTTACAATAATTGAGGTAAAAATAAGTGCGGTAGCTTTGATATAGTCTCCCAGAAGATGATAAGTTGTTTTAAATTTGGGTTATTTGTTTGTTTGTTGATAAGATCTCATGATGTAGCCCTGATTGGCCCCAAACTCACAGGTTTGTTTTAACCAGGTTTTGAAAACCCTTCCTTCTTGATGCTAGAACTGAAGACTATACTCAGCCCAGTGTGTTTTACATGCAGCTACCATGCATTTTACATATGCATCATTGTGCATATGTATATTCATTGATAGAGGTTTCCTGTTATAAGCTGATAATTAAAATTTGAAGGGCTAAGGATAAAGCTGTGTGATAAAACACTTACTTTGCATGCAAAAGGCCCAAAGTTGACTCCTCAGTACCTCCTTCCCCTAAAATATATGAATAACATTACATTCATAACATTAGCTGGCTTTTAAATGAATTTTACAAAGGTTGTGGGAAGTGATAATACAAAGAAACAAAAAGATGCATTTACAAAGAAAAGGTTTTTCTCTTATTTCTATTTAATGATTTTACCTCTTTATAATTCAGAACATATGATATCTGTGAAGTGTCTCCTGGGCCCCATCTGAATATGATTATTGGAGCTAATGGAACAGGGAAGTCAAGCATAGTGTGTGCCATTTGCCTTGGACTAGCAGGCAAACCTGCTTTTATGGGACGTGCAGATAAGGTGAGTCAACATAATTACTTGTTTTTTTTTGTTTGTTTGTTTTGGTTTTTTTCAAGACAGGGTTTCTCTTTGTAGTAGGCCTGGCTGTCCTGGAACTCACTGTATAGTCCAGGATGGTCTCAAAATCAGAGATCTGCTTGCCTCTGCCTCCTGAGTACTGGGATGAAAGGCATGCACCTCCATGCCTGGCTTACATTAATTACATAATTTAAGAAAATTCAGAACCATTTGTCTTCAGAAACAAGTCGATGTCTATATTTTAGGTTCTTTTTTTTTTTTTTAAGACCCTTGAAATTCTTTTTTTTTCTATAATTTATTTAATTTTATCTTATGTGCATTAGTGGGAAGGTGTCAGATCATCTGGAATTGGTGTTAACAGACAGTTGTGAGTTGCTATGTAGGTGCTGGGATTTGAATCCGGGTCCTTTGGAAGAGCAGGCAGTGCTCTTTTCCAGTGAGCCATCTCTCCAGCCCACATTTTAGGTTCTTAAGTGTACCGAATATGTTTTCTTTTACCTAGAACTTCTCGAAGGACATTACTAGTCTCAGGAGAAAGTTCATTTAACTGTGGACTAACTGTTCAAGGAGTTAGAGCATATTGCATGCCGTGGTGTGTGTCCATAGATCTCTGTGGTTATACAGTATATTAGACAAAGTAACAATAGCAAAGAAAGATCATTCACCAAAAAGAATTTCCAAATAAGCTTGATTCCTTAATAGGAAATTTGTCAGGACTGTTGGATACCAGGTTTTATAAAACTTTGTTGAATTTCTGTAAATTAACAGTGAACAAAATGATGCAGTTAAAGGAGTTAATAGTACTGCCTTTTTTTTTTTTTTAAATTTCTAAGAGCTTGTCTGTGTCTGTGTGGTCTGGAAAGGCTGTCTCATCCTCTGGAGCTGGAGTTACAGTTGTGATCCATCATCATGGATGCTGGAAACCAAACTCTGCTAGTACCAAGTGCTCTTAACCACTGAGTCATCTCGCCAGTCCCAGATATTGTTAATAATAGCAGTACAAATATAAGTTACGTAGGAGTAAATTAACAAAGATGTAATAATTTTATATAAAAATTATAAAACTGTTTTAAGATTTGTTTGTTTTATATATATGAATGCTCTCTCTGTATGTACATCAGATCCCAGATGGTTGTAAGCCACCATGTGGTTGCCGAAAATTGAACTCAGGACCTCTGGAAGAATAGACAATGCTCTTAACCACCGATCCATCTCTCCAGCCCCACACTTATATTTTAAAAGAAAAGTTTGTGGGCAAGTGAGATAATTCAGTAGGTAAAAGCACTTGCTACCAAGCTGACAGCTGTGTCCTGTCCCTGAAACCTAACATTTGGGAGGAGAGAGAACTGATACCCACATGGGACATGACAGGTGTTCTCCCTGCAAATAAATATAACAAATAAATAAAATAAATAGTATTTTGTTAAAGCTTAAAATTAATTACTGTGAACATTGCAGAATTAGTCAAGTGATATTACCAACTTTTGAGCTGGTCCCAAATATGTAATGTAGTGCTACAAAACTGAACCAAATACTCTCTGAAATTATAGATTATCATATTCAAAATGCATATTTTAGAAACAAGCTATCCCAGAGACATTTGTGGCTAGAAAAGATATTTTGCTCTGTTAATAAATTAGCCTGTGACCTTGAGCATGGGTCTGGACATCAGATTTTCATTTCCAGGAAAAAGGGATTGAAGTAGTTAATTTGCAAAGATCAGCTCAGGTTTTTATGAATATTATGTACTTTGTCAAGTCGTCATGAGTTCAGTCTCTCTGCACTGGGCTCTTGGATTGTATTCTCAGTTCTGTATAGTTAGAATGGGTTTTGCTGTAGTGGTTTTTACCAGCTTTGTGGATTTTATTTTTTGAAAAATGCATTTCTTCTTGTACTGCTTGGAATATTAAGGGAGGCATTGGAATACAGTGTTTCCTAATACAGATTGTTGGCCTTCTGTATCTAATACTTAAGTGATATCCAAATTCTCAGCAAGAATACTTTAATATATTTTAATATATTGTTAAACAACTATATTATATGTTATATTAAAATTTATATTATATTATATTATATTATATTATATTATATTATATTATATT